TTTTTGTTGTTGTTGATGTTTTTTTGTTGTTTTTTTTTTGTTTTGTTTTGTTTTGTTTTGTTTTGTAAGTATGATATGGTGGAAGGGTAGCTGTTCAGAAAGAATTCCTTAACCCAAAAAGTACCTGTGAGCTCATGGTTGACTTTCCCTAACTATATTCAAACACATCCTGACAACAGGATGAAGTATAGGCCAGTGGCACTGGAGATGCATTCCAGTGGTTAGGAGAACTTACTGCTCTTCCAGTGGACCCAAGTTCTAGTTTTAGCGCACAAGTCCGGTGGCTCACAACTACCTTTAACTTCAGTCCAGGAAGCTAACACTTTCTCCTGGCCTCTGAGGGTAGCCACACATGTGGCATACATGCATACATACGTGCCCATAAATAAAGTAAAAATGAAAATTTAGACAAGTGAGTTATAAGTCAGAGCTTACACAGAAAGCTGGTATCTTTGAGTCATAGATTTTTAACAGTATTTATGGTTTTGTATTTGAAAAAAAGCAATATGGAGTAGTTGTTGAAAATGATTTCTTTCTTTAAAAATTTATTTTTAAATTTTATTTTATGTGTATGAGGGTTTTGCCTGCATGTGTCAGTGTACACCATGCATGTGCCTGATGCTGACACAGACCAGAAGAGGCTGTCATATCCCTTAGAACAGGAGTCAAAGTTGGTTAGGATCCACTGTATGGGTGCCGGGTCAGCTGCAAGAGTAGAAAGCACTCCTAACTGCTAAGCTGTCTCTCCAACGCTTGGAAGAATTTCCTAGGGGCATATTTTACAAAAGACGAGTTGGCTCATTCATCATGTGGTTTTAAGTTCCCCAGAAACTCTTGATAACGTTAAATGTGTTATGTTGTGTGGAGAGAGCCTATGATTTCTTTAACAGATCTTAAGTGCATAGTGTAAACCTCACCTAATGTATTATATTTTTCCTGAGATAAATACTGTGTTTGGGGGCCATCCTTTATGAAATTAATTAGGGAGAGTCTTAAAAAAAATTAATGGTTTAGTATATTTGGTTCTGTAATTGCTCATAAAATCTGAATTAAACAGAATTTTTTCAAAGTACCCTTAGAAATTCCTTCCATTATTACAGTATTTAAAAAGACTGTTTGTTTACTAAACATGTACCGGTTATCTAGTGTCGGCACTGCGTCGCTGTAGGTACTGGAAAGAGAGTGTTCAGGTTTCCTTCCTCTTGGAGCTTATATTTAGTGGATGAGACAGCTAGGGAGCCGTAAACATGAGCGTGCACACCCAGAGTGAAGACAGCCCTGCCTTGGGTGGTCTGAGCGGTACTCCCCTGGGGTATGGCTTTTCACTTGGGATCTATATAATGACAAGGGACTGGTCCCGGAAGAGTCCACCCCAGAAACAGCCTTGGCCAAGAGCACAGAATAAATACAAAGGTCTTTCATGAGTTCAGAAAAATCCTGGCAGGATCCAAGCACGGGAGGTTGAGAGCCTGTAATGAAAGGAGGTGGTGAGCTTATAAGAAGAGGGTTGATCCCACAGAGGCGGGCACAGGGGTCCGAACTCTGCAGACCCTTGTAGAACTCATGAGGAATCAAATTTCTCTGTAAGTGCGAAAGGCAACGCTGAGGGGTTCATGCAGGGAAGTAGCATGATTTACGATTTCTTGCGAGGGCTTCGGTTGCTCTGTGGAAAGGAGCTAGTAAAAGCCAAGGAAGAAAGGCTGAGCCCCATGAAGCTGTTAGAACAGGCCAGGTGAGAGGATGCGGTTTACAGTAGGAATGGGGATGAGAGATGCGTGGAGTTCGGGGCCCAATGCCAGGAAGCGCTGGTATAAACAGTGTGGATCGACTTGGGAATGGATAAGGAGTATTTGCTCTTAATACGGTATGAAAATGAGACGGCACGGAGACGAATACTTGGAACATCCCGTTTCCATCTTCTTCTGCATCCCACATTAAAAGTTACTGTACATGGTCATAATATTCATTGTTACAGTGAAATGAGCCTTTTTTTTTTTTTTTTTTACTAACCTCCTCGGGTATGCTCACAGTTTATGCCTCTCCCTGTGGGTGCACCGGAAGGAAAAACATCTACTAAGAATATGACAGAGGAACAAACTGTAGAGCAGAAGGACATGCACGAACTAGTTGGTTCTGCTAATTGGCATCTGTGTAGAGAAGCCTTCTGTAATCTCTGCGGAATCACCGAGAATTCCCACCTGCACTTAGAGCAGTCATATTTAGTGGACCGACTCCTGCCTCTTGGTCCTCCGAGAAGTTCCTCCTTTTTGAAGGGTCCCCCAGTACCCCAGTCCACTTTGGTTTTGCTCCTTGGTGGTAGACCCCACACTCTTTTGCACTGATGTTAAGATCACTCTGGGAGACGTTGAGGTCACTGTGGCTAGAGCAGCAACGCTGCCACAACGCCAGCATCAGCACCTCTCAAGTCAGAGCCAGAATAAAGAGAGTCTGAAGGCCTCTGGCTGCACTCCAGTGTTCACGTGGGAGGGAAGGGGAAGGGTTAATGCTGGAGCGCACCCATCCCCCACCCTATCAGCCCAAGTTCATTTGTTTGCATCAGAATTTTTGAATAAAGTTTCGTTTTAAAAATGTTTATATCCTTTAAAAAAAAAAAAGCTTAAATACACTGCAGTAAACTTGTCCACACAGATAGTCCCAACACACAATTCAGCCTTTTTTGTTTTTTTGAGTCTTGAGTGTGATCTGAGTGCCCCCACCCAATGCACAAAGCCAAGACTTTTCCTAGCAGCAACTGTGAATCCCATGTATTTGTTTCTATCTGCTGCTCCTCCACCAGATCTTAGGACAGCTTTTTAGAGGGCTTGGAGGGTTCTAGACTCTGTGGGTTCTATGTTCTATGAGCTATCTGTTCCTGCTTGCTGCTGATTTAAAATAAAATCTACTTGGACATTTTCTGAATTGAATTTGATCCATTAGTAATATCACCTACCCCTCATATCCACCTGAAGCTACAAGGGAGCTGATGGGGCCCTAGAGTGTTGCAGTGGGGAGAGAAGCAACAAACTGAACTGGGCTTTGGGGCATTTATAAGCCTCAAGTGTTGGAGACTGGATTTCTGATGCCCTCTCTCATGAACTTGCTGGGCTTAGCCCAAAACTCAGGGATCTCCAGCTCCAGTGCCTAATTTCATTCATTACATCATGGCAAAGTTGGTTTCAAGTTATTTCCTGAGGGTCCTCTGTACTCTTCTACAACCTGGGAGATGTAGCTCAGCTCAGCTTTAAGTACCCTGACTGACAGCAGGGAAGTTGGTTTACCTTAGAGCACCCAGAAATCTTCTGCAGAGCATATTGTTTGTTACAGGCTGATCTAAGCTTTGGCTTTGGCCAGCTGTGTTAGCTTATTACTTTAAAGAGCATGCTTAAGAAACAACAGTAACAAAAAAAAAAAAGGGAGGGGTTGCCCTCTTACTGGTCTTCCAGAGGTTCTGAGTTCAGTTTCCAGCACCGACATTTGGTGGCTTATAATGGCCTGTAACTCCACTCCAGGGGATCTGGTGCCCCCTTCTGGCCTCCATGGGCACTGCACTCACATGCATATGTACATATATATAAACTAAAATAAATCTTTTGTTTTAAAGAAAAGGCTGCCTTGTGTAAATATAATCAGTAATTAAAATTCGGAGGCCATAAAAACCTACTCTACTGATTGTTTTCATCCTTTTTGCACAACTTTTTTTTTTTTTGGTAGTAAAATTTTATAGAACCCATAAATATAATTCAGGTGGCACTTGGGTATCAGGCGCAAACACCTGATTCCTCTGCTCTCCTACTCTCTTCCTCTTCTGAGGCTACTTCGTACCCCAGAAATGTCTAGGAAATTCTGGAAATCCTTGGGACCCAGTTGTAAAGATTTCAGAGACTGGGAGAGGTGTTCGAGTTCCTGGCTGATACTTAAGGAATCAGCATCTCTCACCCTTCAATGCCAGGTCTTGAGCCTCCCCTGTCTCCCACCAACCCTTCTAGCAGGCAAAATACACACGAGAGATCATGGTCTCTATTCCACTCCAAGCTGCCCCGGCTTCTCCCAGGTGATCATCTGCAGGACACCACAGCCTTCTTCATGACCCTCACATACGCTTCAGTGAGCCCTTAAATCTTTTCTTTTTTACGGCTCCTCGTAGGATGAGAGCCTCGAGCACTCAGCCGTCCCGCGGTTGTCCCGACAGAGCTGCGTGCCCCTTCTCCACGACTCCCCAGAAAAACACTCGCTGGTAGCTCCTATCACCCCCTAATGCCTCCCGCCTCCCAGCCACCAACCACCTTCCTGCCCCTTGACACCAGATAACAAGGTCTCAAAGCCTGCGAAGAAGCCCACTGTCACCCTCAGGTGCTTTAGACCGCTGACCTGTCATCTCCCCGATGACTGTTCAGACCCCTGCTGTGTGTCTGTCACACAGCACTGTGACCTTGATCTCTGTGGTTGTCTCCTCAACTTCAGTAAACCAAGGCAGAGACGGTTGCGGAAGGGGTGCTTCTCTTTCTACATGAGCTCCCAATTGCTCTGGCAGATAGATGCCCGGACCCATAAAGAACCTCAACATCTGAACGAACGAGTCACCGCTACTCACCACAAATGCATTTTTTTTTTTTTTTTTTTTTGGAAACGTGAACAGTCGCTGTTTCATAAATCATCTCCATGCTGATAAGAACAGAAATTATTTTTCAAAGCCTCATTTAACGAGACGTTAATACTCTCGCTGTGCAAATGAGATCTCGCGTTTCTTCAGGGGCGTTTTGCTTGCTGGGATCACCGGCGCCTCCTCCGCGCGTGGATGTCTTTCCACCCGAGCGAGCGGAGTCCGCTGCGATCCCACCAAGTTTCAGTGTTCAAAGCTGATTGACTTGGGAATGCGAGGAGTAGAGCCGGGGAGGGGGGGGGGCGGGGGGAGGGCGGGGCGTGGGTGTGTGAGGGACTGTGTGTGACAAACGCTGGGGCGTGCTAGTGAACCCGCTCACCTGAAAACTGTCTCTCCGCAGGTGATGTGTCACCAATCAGTATGTCCCCCATCAGTCAGTCTCAGTTTATTCCACTCGGGGAAATCCTTTGCTTGGCCATCTCTGCAATGAACTCTGCAAGAAAGCCTGTCACCCAAGAAGCCCTGATGGAACACCTGACGACGTGCTTCCCAGGTAACCAGAACCAAAGGAAGCTCTTTCCAAATAGATGTGGGCTGGGGGCTCCAGGCCCTTAAAGGGACACTGTCTTCACCCAGACCGACTAGACACTGCTCCTCCATGACTTAAAACAATAATCATAATGATAACAGAGCAACAGCGTCAATCCTTTAGATAGTGTACCTTTTATTTCCTTTTTATAATTTGATGCGACACTTTTTAACTGGCTACTTACAGGAGAATTAAGTCAACATCATAAGAGATTGGTGAAAATGACCAAGATTCTACTCATCTTTTGCAGTTCAGCCTTCCATAAAAGTACAGACCCAGGATTCCTCAGAAACACCTGGAACATTTAGTCCTAAGAGAACTACAGAAATGCTATCAAAAATAAATGTGTCCTGCATGTCTGTGTTATGAACTGATGAGCCTTAAAAAAATGTTACCTCATGAATTGAGACTTCATTTTAAGAGGAGAAAACTGCTTTTATTTCGGAAATATTAAAAAAAAAAATGAGGACAGGAGTGGAGCTGCCGTGTGAGTCGCCATTGATTACAGTGGAAAAGGTTGTTTGGATAGACTAAATATACAGCAGTGAAGCATTACTCCACTTCAGTTTAGTGGCCCCGGCCGGGGTTGCCAAGTCTGATGTTACAAAGAGAATCTCAAAAATCCTGTTTGTGAACTCCCTAAATTTCCCTAAGTACAGCTGGCTTTGCGTGTGCACATTTTAACCTGTGTAAGTCGATGGCCAGTGTGCACCGGAAGAGGGGCTGCCAGTTTGCCAGCTTGGTGACTACTGAGCCTATTCTATTTCCAGACTGAAATAGAAATCACGTTAAAAGTGACTGCACGGTATAGTTGACGTTCATTCAGTTTTTCAAGAAGACTTTAGTACCTGTAAGCTGTTGGCTGAATCGGCTTTTGCTACAGTGATGCTTGACGATAAAACAACCACAGATAACCAGAGACACGCAACAACAGGCGTGTACTTAGGTCCTGTGTCTGAGGGTGCCCCAGAGGTCAGCTGGGGAGAGAAGCTGGCCCTGTTCTGCCTGAGCTGCGTGTCTTTGGAAAAAAGACCCTTGACGGTTTTGGTCATAGCTTATCCCCTAATATCGCATTGATAAAGCAATCGTGACTTGGCCTCACACACTCACACGCACAGAAAGGCTGGAAGAACCAACTCTATGAAGATTTAGTACTATAACCTACCATCTGTGGTCTCACCATAATACTTGTTGCTTTGCCTCAGAGAAACTTTGCATTGCCTTCTCATTAATGTCCCCTCTTCTTTTCTTTTTCCTTTTTGTTTTTCTTCTTACATTACCTGTTTTGTTGTGCATCTTTTTGGTTTTGTTTTGTGTTTTGTTTTTCGAGACAGGCTTTCAATTTCAGTGTTTTTATATTACTTATCTATTAAGACACTAATGTCAACCTACCCTTGCAAACTATAAATTATCTTAAATGTTACAGCATTTCATTATCTGTTTCCTTTTTCCACTGCCAGACACACCTTTCCCCCCAGGTAGTAAGAGGGGGTGATGCTCTTGACAAACGCTCCCCTCCGGAGCAAGACAGCCCTCTTCCTCCAGTATACCTAGGCCAGTGCTTCAGACATCAAATAATACAGCTGCTTTTAAAGTCTTCATGTTGTTGTGAAGCTTCATGAGAATACACGTGGTTTTCTCAGAAGTGGCCCGATGTCTCCCGTTACTGTAAAATAGGAAAGAATGTAGAGCCAGTATACACTAGTGAAATGCCCATCGTGGCTGCGCAACAAACAGTATCACTAAGTGCGGGTCTCCTCTTCTTTTGGGGGCTGTTGGCCATCAGCCTATGAAGGCAGGAGGAGTAGAGGAGGGGTACAGGGCTCAGAAGGACAGAATGCAGGACTGAATGACATCGGGGACCAGCTGCAGGGAGGCGGATCAACTTTATTCCTGGGGTGAGGGGTATATATAGGAAAAGGGAAGCAGCCAGGAGGTACTCTGATAGGTGCTCGCACTGTACTTTACATGAATTAAACAGCAGGGTCCTGTCACCCATGCAGGGGCACACTGCCTATTTATCATATGAGAGACATCTTCTAAATAAGCTCAGGCAGGGAGTAGGAAGCCCCTCTGGGGGAAGGGAGTCCTACATCCTGCACTGAGAAAAAGAGAGCTTTCCGGTCATGGAGACTGCAATCTTCAGCGGCAGGACCTTCCAACAGCTAAGTTACCATACATTGTAGAAAAAGGATCATTGATGATTAAAGTAGTAACTGCTTCTCCAGTTTTTATGGCAAAGATGCACTAACTAGACTTTTCCATCTGTGTAACACTGATGACTATTGGTCAGATCCAGAAATTTGCAAGGACACTGTATGGATTTTACCAAGGGCAGGGCTTTACAAAGCATGGCTTGGGGGCCTAGAAGGAACGGACCACCTGTCTTTGTGAATAAAGTTTTCTTGGAACACAGCCATCTTGAGGTCTCTGTGTTATCCTCGGCTCCTTGGACATAGTGGTAGAGGAGTTGTCACAGAGGTCACATGGCTCACAAAGCCTACAATATTTACTAACTGGCTCTTCACAGTAAAATACTTACAACCCAGGTCCAGGACACACTAATAATTATTTAAATTCTTCTTTAGTAACAGCACCTTTGTTTTCTTTATTAATTATTTTTATTAATTATTTATTATTATATTTATAGTATAATAATTTTATTATTATTATTATTATTATTATTATTATTATTATTATTATTATTGTCTATTTTGAGACATAGACCACACTGGACTTGAACTTTCTTTGATCATCCTGCCTCAACAGATGTACACCATTAGGCCTGCCTTAATAGCTCCAAATATTTAACTAGTATTTCATTAAACGTGATATTTTCTTGCCTTGCCTGCTTTCTCTCCTTTCTTCTATTCTTTTCCTTCCTTTCCTTTTTTCTCCTTCTTTTATTTGTTGCTTTTCGTTAGCTATGTCAGGACAAAACATCATTGAAGATTTAAATTGCTTAAATTCTCCTTGAAAAATCTATTTTCAATGATAATACTAAAAGTCTAGAGGATTTTTAATACCTTCTTTGTTTTAAAGTTAAGACTTTACTTCTTTTGTAGTTTACTATTTGCAAAGGGGAGTTGAAGTCTAACAAAGTATTACTAAAATACTTGAATTCTCATATTTGATGCATGTTTTACGAATAAAAAGGATATTTTAGAATGTGACCTCTCACTATTTTAGACATCTATATTCCAAAGAGTAGAGTCTTATAGTAAAACTATACATGGAAACAGGTGATAGTATGAGGTTTTTTTTGTTGTTGTTGTTTGTTTTGTTTTTTAAACATAAGTTGAACTTTGAAAATCAGGCTCAACAAATTCTATATACCAGTTTCTATTTAGAATTGCATGCTCATTTGTACTTTTCTGTGTTTGATGTGTGTGTGTGGTGTGTTTGGTAGGTGGTGTGTGTGGCATATATGTGTATTGTGTGTGTGTGTGTATGTGCTTGTGTGTTTGTGGTATGTGTGTGTGGCATATATGCGTGTTGTGTGTGTGTGTGTGTGTGTGTGTGTGCTTGTGTGTGTGTGTGTGGTGTGAGAGACATGACCATGCTGGGGACTGAAAGCAGGGCCTTGTGCATGCCAAGCAAGTCCTCTGCTCCAGAACTACACCCTCAGCCTAAGAATATTTTGACCTATTTTAAAAGAATACTTGTTTTTCATATTTCTAAAGAACTGTTAACCCTTTCACCCAGGATAAGTGCTTAATTACATTGGGCTAATCTTTGTTGTTAGTTGGATCTTTCTGGAGGGAAGGCTGCCACACTTCAGGGAAGCAGAGGACTGTGCGATGGGACGTTGAAGCTGGCGTTAGCGTCAGCTGCAGAATGTCAGTGTGCTTGTTTCATGTTCTCTATCTGATTCATCTCTATCTGGACTCTCACTCAGCCACTGTTCTTCACAAATAAGAACAATAGCATCACAAAGCCCATTAAGCATTGCAGTCTGAAGCTAGGCATGACGTCTTGTGCCTGTAGCCCCACGTACTCATAAAGATAATTGATGAAGACTGCTCGAGTCCATGGCTTCCAGACCAGTCTGAATAACATACACAGGACCCATCTCAAAATAAAAGCACTTTTTAATCTAACATGTTTAACGTGAAGCTCATATACGTGTGTTTTCTGTTTGAAGAATTAATCAGATTTCCGGATTAAAGCAAAGTGTGGCTCCACAGAGATGTCATGACGTGTCTTTAACCGTCTACCTTTGCTTTGGAAGCCATAACAGCATGGGAAGGAGAGAGGTCCACCTGTAGCTCCACTAGAACACAGAGCTTGGCACTCTCAAATCCTGCTTCATGATAAACTACAGCTGTAGCGCCTGGAAATAAGAGAGCATGCCAGACACCATCAGTTTGTCCGGTTAACCCTACAAGTGCCCAGTGGAACTAGCATACTCACAGTTAGACTGATGATTAGAAACACCAGTTACTGTACTAAGGCTTAATAGCAATGTGAGCGTAAATATTGCCAACTTTCAGTTGGGTCAGACATGTCGAAATAGAGACAGAAACAGATTGGATGGCAAGGGGAAAAAAGGTTTGTAGGTTTTGTTTTGTTTTTTCAAAGTAAATACTGGATGACCCACTTAGCTGAAAATTAAAGGTGTATAAAGTGCAGATTATTTCTTGTCTATTCATTTGGGAAGAACTAGAGAAATTTTTCTTAATGGTAAGTAGCATATATTATGTTATGCTCATGATTCTATATGAGTGTATGAGCTTTCCAAGACTGGAAATAATGACTATCCTTAATATGATTCATGGGCTAGAGAGATAGCTTAGCAGTTAAGAATGTTCATTGTTCTTCTAGAAGACCCAAGTTATGTCCTCAGCATGTATGTTGAGCTGCTCACAACCACACATACATATACACACGCTTAATATGAAAAAAAGAAGTACAGTTCAACGTCCTTTGGTAACACAAGGTAAATTAGTTAATCATGAGTTCATACACACACACACACACACACACACACACACAACTTTAGAAAGGGTTTCCTTGTGTAGTACAGGCTGATCAGAAACTACTATGCTTAATACAAATTTTGTCATACCAGTCTTCAAATTATTTATACAAGAGAAAATCATGTACATTTATCAAAAGTAGATCATTCGGTTAAGGGAAGGGATGCAACTAAAAAATATACTACCTTAAGCAATATGCTGAATGTGAATCTCTTCCACCTTGATTAGGATACCCTCCACAGGTGGAGCACAAATAGATGTAGTGCCCCATTGTTCTCACAGACTTCCCTCCCCCACCCCCACCCCCCGCCACCGAGAACCTCAGACTAACTCTAGTATCCTGACCCAAAGTTGAGACTACTAGTGGCCAGTGTTTACTGGGCACTTGCTCTTTCGTGTCACTGCCGTGCAGGACCAAGTTCTAGTAAATTCCCAGGAGCTGTATGGAAATGGATACCCCAGAGATTTGGTTGCCAGCTGCCTCCACGCTACCACCTGCTAGGGCTGTTACAGTGGTACAGGGAAATCAGCAAAAATGTAGTGTACAGTTTGGGAGACTGGAGACTCTAAGTCAGGATGTCGACAGGGCTGTCTGTTCCCTTCTGAAGGCGGTGAGGGAAGACACCGGCCCAAGCGTCTCCTTGACTTGTGTGTGGCCAGCTTTGACCCATGTCTCCTCACGTTATCTTCCGTCTGTGCCTCTCTGTGTGTCATTTTCCCCTTTTCAGAGGGACATTACTTCTAATAGATTATGGCCCATGCTAATGACCTCATTTTAATTTGACTACTCCAGCAAAGACCCTCTCTCTCCGAAAAGATCAGTTGGAAAGGACTACTGGGAGACTGAGAAATTAAAGGTGTGAATTTGGTGAGGAGGCATTAATGTCTTACTGCAATTAAAGCTTGCAAGAAGAAAAGATTTGTTTAGGTTCATAGTTGTAAAGGGTTTCAGCCTGTGTTTAGATGGGCCTGTTTTAAGTCTGCTTTTTCTATGGTAAGATCAGAGCCTGGAAGCAAAAGAGAGAAGAAGAGGCCTGGGTCATACAGTGCCCTTCAAGGGCCCCATTGACCTAAAGACCTCCCGTTAAGCTTCACCACCTAAAAATACCACCACTTCCCACGAGCAACAAGCCCAGGACCAAGCTTTTAACACATGAGTCTTAGGGAACATGCTAGATCTAAACCATAGCAGTAATGAGGTGGGGAAAGAAAGAACAGTCCAACCAATAACACCATTGTTGAAGAGAAAGTTGGGCCTCCGATCCAGCAGCCTGGCCCCTGAACCCAAGCTTTCAGTCTGACCTTGTACTGCTTTGACTGTGATAGTTAACTCATATGAAACTGCCATTTTTATAGGTCAATTATTGGCAGCATTCCTTTGATTTGATCTGGCCTGTTTCTAAGTCATACCATTCAGATCAATTCTGTAAACATCACCACCCTTGATGTGCCTGACACTGACATCTGCCAAATACACAAGGAATAAAGTAAGTGGCCTGCAGCCTGGAGAATTTATACTCTCGGAAGGAATTCCCTTCTTGATTCTTTCTCTTCTGGTAGGGGATATATAAGCATTCCCACAAATGCCGTGAAAGACTGTGTACACCACTGGACAGTGAAACGTGCCCCACCCTGTATTTCTGTTCAAGCAAATGCAGATGTTTGGGACTTAGTGATCAAACTGATAGTGTCTTAGTGTACATGTATTCGTGTATTGATTAGAGTTAATGTTTAGAAACCAGGAAAGCCACCTCCGTCTCCTGACTTTTGCCAAGAAGGACTATGCTCTTATCTGACCGTCATTACCTCAGGAGACAGCTTCAACGTGCAAAGTGGTGGATTTCAAAATTACAAAGCATGTTGAAAAGTGGTCCAGTTCTTTGCGTAGGGTTGAAACCTCCTAGTGTTTCCCCCCATCCACTTTGGCATGTCATCCTTGTTCAACTCATATGTAGGTAGTCATGGTGGTGAGACTTTATGGGTGTAGCTACAGGTAACTAAGGAATGCTGAGAATGGAAGAATGGTGGGTCCCAGGGCAGAGCATCCAATTGTTTACCCAATACCAAATGTCAACCCTTAAAACATACATGTCAGTAACATTATACAGACTGAGAAGCTTAGAGTAAGTGTATGTGTATCTATGCATAAAAATACATTCACATAATAACAACAAATGAAAACAGGAGCCATGAATTTGAAAAAGCAAGGCGTGGTATACAGAAGGCCTTGGAGGGAGGAAAGGAAAGGGAGAAATTTTGTAATTATATTATAATCTCAAACTTAAGTTTTAAAAAGGGGTGGTCAAACCTAGTTGCCATTTTATAAAAATTTATAAAAGTTAACTTTAAACAAGCTTAATATTTTAAAAATGAGTGCATAATAAAATAATTACATACATATTATTCTCTGATACCAAGATAGCTGTTAAGCCTCATTTCTCTGGTGACCATTTTGGGAAAACATTTTCTGTAAATTTGTGTCACTATGGGAAAATTTTCATCATTTTCCTGTCCTTCACAAAATAGTCTCTTTTTCATGAAGTCCAGGAAAGACTTTGTAGCAGTAACAATCTTAACTCTATCTAACTTCCGTCTCTCTCTTGCAGCAGTTTTCCTGATGTTGGAGATGGAACCCAAACAAGGTCTCACACATGCTGGGCAGAGTTCTACCCTCATCTCCATCCCCAGTCCTCTTCCTGTTATAACACCTTTTCACTCTCAAGGTGGTAATATTCATAGGAGTCGTCAGAAAAAAAAAAAAACTAGGATTCACACTAAACATAATAAACACCTTTGAAGCCTGCTTACATGCCATGAGGTGATACTTCAAATTTGGCAATGTTACTAGGACTCTGGAAGTCGGAGATCTACAGCCTGTGCCTTCCTCCCTCTCACAATGCATCTCTGTTTTTTTTTGCTCTTAGGTGTTCCAACCCCAAGCCAAGAAATTCTCCGGCATACCCTAAACACACTGGTACGGGAGAGGAAAATCTATCCGACCGCAGACGGCTATTTCATCGTGACCCCACAGACTTATTTCATTACTCCTTCCCTCATAAGAACTAACAGTAAGTGGTACCACTTGGATGAGAGGGTACCTGACAGGTCTCAGTGTACCTCTCCACAACCCGGAACCATAACGCCCTCTGCCTCAGGCTGCGTCAGGGAAAGGACATTACCCAGAAAGCACTGCGACTCTTGCCACTGCTGCCGAGAGGACGTGCACAGCGTGCACGCCTCCACTCTGCAGAGAAAACCCGCCAAGGACTGCAAAGACCCTTACTGCCCTCCTCCGCTCTGCCAGGTGCCACCCACCGAGAAGAGCAAAAGCACTCTAAATTTCTCCTACAAGACGGAAACCCTCTCCAAACCTAAAGATGGCGAAAAGCAGTCCAAAAAATTCGGCCTCAAGTTATTCAGGCTGAGCTTTAAGAAGGACAAGACCAAACAGCTGGCCAATTTCTCTGCCCAGTTCCCTCCCGAGGAGTGGCCCCTGCGAGACGAGGACACGCCGACCACCATCCCCCGGGAGGTGGAGATGGAGATCATCCGGCGCATCAACCCCGACCTGACGGTGGAAAACGTCATGAGGCACACTGCCCTGATGAAGAAACTCGAAGAAGAAAAGGCTCACCGGAGCAAAGCCGGGTCCTCTGCCCACCACAGCGGAAGGAGTAAAAAGAGCCGGACTCACCGCAAGTCCCACGGAAAGTCTCGGTCGCACAGCAAGACCCGAGTGTCGAAAGGAGATCCTTCGGATGGCTCGCATCTGGATATCCCCGGCGAGAGGGAGTATGAATTCTGCGACCCTCTAACCAGGGCCCCCCGGGAGGGCTGCTTCATCATCGAACACAAAGGAGACAACTTCATTATGCACAGCAACGCTAACGTGATCGAGTCCCATTTCCCCATGACGCCAGAATGGGATGTGTCTGGCGAACTGGCCAAAAGGAGAACGGAGATGCCCTTCCCCGAACCTTCCAGGGGAAGCTCCCACTCCAAGGTGCACCGAAGCCACAGCCACACCCAGGACCGGAGGTCCAGGAATGAGAGATCCAACAAGGCCAAGGAGAGATCCAGGTCGATGGATAACTCCAAAGGCCCCCTGGGCGCTTCTTCTCTCGGGACTCCGGAAGACCTGGCTGAAGGCTGCAGCCAAGATGACCAGACCCCCAGCCAATCGTACATTGACGACAGTACTTTACGGCCTGCGCAGACTATTGGTCATCAGAGGGCTCATATTTCCTCTGCCAGCTATAAAGAGGTGTGCATTCCAGAAATCGTCGGTGGCGGTAAGGAACCTTCTAGCGCTTGTAGCCTTTTGGAGCCAGGCAAAACCCCCGAGAGTGTGCCATCCTATGGGGAACTCAGCCCTTGCCCAGCCAAAACGGCTGTGGATGACTATTTTCAGTGCAACACCTCTAGCGAGACCGTGCTCACAGCACCGTCACCTTTGGGGAAGAATAAGGAGGACCATGACACGTTGACCTTGGTAGAGGGGGTAAAAAAGCTGTCTTCGTCTGAGAGGCAGACCCCCCATTCCTCCAGGGAACCTGTTGGGCACGAGGAGTCACCGAAAGGGCCAGGTGGGGGCCCTGCTGCCTCTGGTGGTGTGGCAGAGGGGATGGCCAATGGCCGCCTTATCCAACATCATAGTGCCGAGCCCAGCGGCCTGGACAAGAGGAAAGAAATATTCAGCAAAGACACACTGTTCAAACCTCTACACAACACCTTGTCCGTAAACAGCTATCACAAATCCAGCTTGTCCCTCCTCAAATCTCACCCGAAGTCACCTGTTGACACACTACCAGTCAGATGTGAAAAACTGGAACCTTCCCTTGGGACATCCTCGGCCCAAGCCACGCCTGCGTCCCAGCGTCAGCAGGAATCGGGCGGGAACCAGGAGGCTTCTTTTGACTATTACAACGTCTCTGATGATGATGACTCTGAAGAAGGGGCCAACAAAAACACAGAGGAGGAGAAAAACAGAGACGATGTGGGTACCATGCAGTGGCTCCTTGAAAGGGAGAAGGAAAGAGACTTGCAGAGGAAGTTTGAGAAGAACCTCACCCTCCTCACCCCAAAAGAAACTGATAGCAGCAGCAACCAGAGAGCCACCCATTCAGCCCGGCTGGACAGCATGGACAGCAGCAGCATCACAGTGGACAGTGGATTCAACTCCCCACGGTAGGGAGAACTGTCCCTCTGTATACGCATATACCTGCCAGGGCCCGGGGCTTTATGCAGAAAACTGACTTCACAGTCTCAGATTGTGGATGAGGGCTGGGAGTTGCGTGGCTCGTGTTGTTAACCGCCTGTTTCTAACTTCTTTTTCAGGAATTGAAAAAAATAAATGTTTCTGCAGCTGTAGAGATCACCAATCTGGACTGGTGGGTTGGTTCCTTCCCTAAAGCTTGCATCAGTCTAATCTGACCAACACTCCCGGTGGTTTCCTTCTGTTTGCATTGCCAACCAGGAGAAAGGAGTTGTTTGTTTTTGTTTTTGTTTTTAAGTTTGTAAAAAAAAAAAAAAAAAAAAAAGAAAGAAAAGAAAAAAGTAACTTTCTGAGCACAATGAATATAGTCAGTGAGAAGAAAGGGTTGGGGAGTAACTTAGTGCCAGGAAAAAGGCTCCTACCACTTTAATTCCTACCCTGTGTGTGGTTCACTTGCTGAGATGCTTCCTGGGTGTGGACCGTGGCCAGAGACAGTGAAGCTTGCTCCTTTCACAGAGGTTAGGGACCTGTACTCTGTTAGATCAACACAGTCGCCCGCCCTTTCATTTCCCCACCTGTGGAACCCATTCTGTCTGTGTGGACACTGCCCCCCTGTAGGTCTTCAACAGCACTGACAGTTCAGAGCCTGTAAGACCTGACCATCCTCTCCAACGCAGTGAGGTTGTTTAGGTGGGACAAACACAAACCCAGGGACGTCACACTTCCTTCCCCCCTCCCCCCGCCTCTATAACTCTTTCTTCTCATTAAACAGCAACTTGGGATCTAAGTCTCACTTCTAAATTCTACTCCAGATTGGTGACTCTGAGATGCAGAAATCTACTGAGAGTATACATTCCTCATCATCTCCAGTTCCCAAGATCTCATATTTATAATCACAATAAGTACCCACATAGGCACTCATCTGTTCGTTTATGCTATTAAAATTATAATCAATTCCATTGTGATCATTTCATGCCATTTCTGGGTAACTTGGGGGCACATCATCCCAAAATCAGACTTGGGGATTATTATAATGTTTATTCCATAACTGGGCATTTGCCTTTTCTTGACTTTATTATTTCGGTCATTTAGCTTTTTTTCTCAAGCTAATATGTAAATGGAAGTTCTGATGTCTAACAGACATCTATCAGAGTTAGAAGTCTGGTAAACTGCATGGGAGTCTGGGAGCCCAGGTCTGACCTTGGACCTTAAGGGTCATTGAGAAACCCCAGGGAGGGGTCTGTTTGTTTGTTTGTTTGTTTGTTTTAAAGAAACTGTTTTGGTAAATATTTTTTCCTCCCAAATAAGATTTTATTTTCCAATTAATTTTCTCTGTGCTTGTCCATCTATTTTTCTGTTCTACACCTTTTTCTCTCTTGAAAAATCTAGCAGTAGGAACCAGATAATTGGAGGTCAGTGATAAAAGTTTTAAGCCCTTCCCATTGCCCCCCCCCCCCAGCACTTGGACTTAGTCAGTAAATGGTGGTACTCCCAAGTTCATTTTCAAGGGGATGTTGGGAGTGAGTGTATTCTAACCCAAAACCCTGTGTAATATTGAAAACATTTGTTTGCTTAGGAGTAAAAGGAAGTATTCATGAGATAGTTGAACCAGTATCTTACAAAATATATTATCTTGAAATTTGGACTTCATGACATAGAATTTGTAAGTATGGTTTCTTCTGGAAGTTTTTTTCATGTTTTTTTTTTCTTTGCTTTTTGGCTTTTTGAGACAGCATTCTCTGTGTAGCCTTGGCTGCTCTGGACTCTTGTAGACCAGGCTGGCCTTGAATGCACAGAGATCTCTGCCTCCCAGAGTGACGGGACCACAGGTATGCACCACCAAGCCTGGCTATTTTCATTTTCTAAATAAGGTACTTAAAAGTGAAATGCCTTCTCCTTGTAGAGGGAACAGTTCATCCTGAAAAGAGAGAAACTTTCCTCACTAGCCATGAGTCTGTCCACTGATACATGTCTGGAATTTCGCTCCAGGAACATGGAGATCTCCCGAAAATTTTAGGCAGGAAGTGTATGCAAGAATTCCCAATTCTATGGTTTTATATTTACGACCCTTCTGTTAAAGGTGGGTGACAGAGCTGCTTTCCATCCAGTTCAGGAGGTTCACAAGGTTACCAAGGACAAAAGAGAATGCTACACTTGCAGAGTTTTCAACTTGATGGGTATTCTAGTGAAACAACACTGCCACATGGAAGTCGTTCCGTTACTATGAGTGGATTTAAGTAGGCCGGTTATGAGGATTGTCCATCGAGGTAATTCATTAAGCAACTGTGATTCTTCCAAGAAAAGTGTTTGTTTGTTTTTTTCTTGGAAGTCATGTTTAGCCATGTTTTCAGTCCAGCTCGTGGAAACTAAAGAATATATTAAAGAGAAACAACAACAACAACAAAAAACAAAAAAAAAAAACAAAAAACAACCACAAAAATAATAGAAACTTGAACTGTGCTGTGAGAATATTGAAAATAAAAAGTCTTGACATGAAAAGGTCACCATTTCAAATGGGAGACACACCTAAAGAGCTTTTTTTTTCTTTCTTTCTTTCTTTCTTTTGAGACAGAATCTCTCTACATAATTCAGACTGCCCTGGAATCTGGAACTCACTATGCAGATCAGGCTAGCCTTAAACTCAGAGATATGCCTGCCTCTGCCCCCAGAGTGCTGGGATTAAAGGCATACACCATACACCACAACTCCTGGCCCAAAATAGCTCATTTTAAAAGTTGCATTCCATCTGATTTTTTTCTTTCAAAATTAAATTTGAGAAATATCTTTACCACTAAAAAGCCATCTCTGTTAGATTTTCGTCGGTATATCCAGATCTCTCTCCACAAACTGCTCACGATTACAACTGTAATGAAATACATTCTTTGCAGAAATTGGAGGACTGTGCATATCTGTCCCTAAGGATGCATTAGGTGTAGCTCAAAGGAGGTCAAGGGCATCTTATTCCAAAGACATAACTAATACATCATGTTGGGACAGGTGCTTCCAGTCCCAAGCACACTGTCTGGAATATGGCAGGTACACATCCACCTGATGCATGAAGCTAATTCCCCAAAGGCTACTTTAAAAATATCTCCTCTGGCACCTAACAATCCACTTTACCACCGACAAATGTCACCAGTGATAGTTAGCTTCCCAAGCTAATGTATAGTAGTTACATAATATGATATGAGCAGTTACGTAATATAATAAATGTGTAACAGAAATAGCACCTTCACAGCTTTTTAATATGCCGCTACGTCAGTGTTTATTTCTTCTTCACAGTCACTCTGTAAGTAAGTAAATCACAGCATAATTCTCTCCCCCATAGACATGAGAAAGGTAGATGCTGTTAAGGCATGGACCAGTGAGGTGGCATAGAGTGTAAAAAACTCTTGCCACCAAGCCTGACATCTCAGATCCATATGGTGGGAGACCAGAAATGAGTCCTGCAAGCCAAGCCCACAGGCTGTCCTCTAATCTCTGCAGACATATCATGATGCACACAGAGAGAGAGACAAGTGTGTGCACTAAATAGATCATTTAAAAAATTGCTACCATGATTGAAAGTGGAATGGACTATGCCATAAAATCTTTGGGATTCAACATGTTCTCTGCCCTTCGTTTTTTCTCCACTGGCCCCACACCTCATTCACAACTCTGAAAAATTGCTGGTGGATTTTCTGGGGAAAGAGGTCAGGCAGGTAAGTGGGTGCTTTGAAAATGATTCTGGTTGCTTTGCTCTACGGAAGGAGGTACATCTTTTGAAGTCACTCGGAGGACCTTGAATTGGAACCTTTTCCCTCCCTCTCAGTCCAGTGGAGTGATCTTATTTCTGCTGTTGTCCAGCCCTTTTCAAACGTGAATGTTTTAAATCTCTGAAAGCATTGAAACAGATTTAAGTATTTACAATTTGGGAAGCTTAAGCAAGAAGGAATGAAGTTATAAAATCTCATCCTTAAGAAATAAAAATATTTCTACCAAAGGGAGACAGGAATGAACTGCAGCTTCACAAATAAACGGAAGATAGGGACATATAACATTCTTTATCTGAACATAAAATTATGTTTTAACTGAAGTGTTAAGACAGAGATGGAGGTGACTAATATTTACAGATAATTTTATTCCTATTTGAGAGGCAGAATCAGCTAGAGGCAAGCTTACAGTCCATCTGCCAAATTAACATCTAAGCAAAAGCAAACAAAAAGAATGGAATCTTTCAGTACAACTTGGCATTTATTTGAGAACCATGAATTCCCAACTTTTGGCAAAATCATCACACAGGTATGAGTATTCATTATTAAAGCCAGTGTGGTGGCCATCTGTCACATCACATTTCAGAGTCATTTTCTTGAAAGTAAAGAGCAGGGGAAGCTATTTCAAACTGCATTTGGTAGCTGGAAACCGTTTGCCGGGTGAGCTGCAGTTCATTCCTCACATGAGTCCCAGAGCCTGGGCAGGAAGAACACATGCAAATAATCACTGAGATGCATATCGATATGACGTCATGAGCCAACAGAGGAAATCCATTAGCTCCATCATTTGCTCTTCCTTCAGGGGCTCACTATATAATTGTTTACGTTCAGAGCAAAACCAAAACCAACCCTTTTTACTCTTTTAGCACTCGGGAGAGCCTGGCTTCCAACACATCAAGCATTGTTGAAAGCAACCGCCGCCAGAATCCTGCCCTGAGTCCCGCCCACGGCGGAGCTGGTCCAACCTTCAACTTCCGCGCAAGTACGGATCCCCAGACCAACGAGGCTGAGAAATTACAGAAACCTTCCAACTGCTTGCAAGCTTCTGTTACTAGTGTATGATTGTCCTTCTGCCTCAGACCTTCTGTCTCATTCGATACAGCAACGTTTACGACACTTGGGACTGATGTTTACATCCCTGCAAAAACAAACATCTCAAGCACAGTTTGGCAGTCGCTTGAACTGTGCTTCTAAGTAGGCTAGGGCAAAAAAAAAAAAAAAAAAAATCTTTATTTCAGAGTATTGCTTTTCACATTTATGGCTCTGTAGCAACCGAATAGCAGTAGGGGAGATAGGCACACTTCCGATTCACTAACTGTATCTGAGCACACATAGCAAAGTCTAAACACTGTAAGTGGAACATGCATTTTTCAATGTCATGCAGTTGCCAATTCCATTTTGAAATGCCACAGATGTGTGTTGCTCCCAGCCTAAGGGGAATGGGTCCGTGGAACTAATCCTGGTCAAACCCTTCCCTCCCCCAGAAAGCCAAGCTACCACAAAATGTAAGTGTAGGGGTGTCCACCATGAGAAAATTCCATGCCAAACTGAGCAGAAGTGACCCAAGCCCTTTGTGTGTGAGTCCTTCAAGCACCAGTCATTTTTCACTGTGAGTTTTCATGACACTCTTGCAGGAGCCCATGGAAGCGTGTCAGAAAGGGTCCCAATGACAGTCGTTAGAGTGTTTGTTTTCCAGTGCACTCAATGCTTGTCTTGAGTTTTTTTAACCTTCCATCATCACCAACAGGAATATAGGCCTTTGAAGTGGACAAAGGAAGGGAAATCTGGTCTCGCTGGGCCACAGCACTGAGTGATGGAGAAGGTTGTGTGAACTTTCAGGAGGGATGAATCGGATATTGAAGAAGGATGCCTTCCTCCTTGTGACACTTAGGATGAGCTATCTTACTATAATAGATGCAGTGATTAGTTTGTTTGGAAGCAAAATGTTCTTTATGATACAAATGAAGAATGTGGCTTGAGGGTGTTATTCTTTCTAATGGAAGGGACATAAATCTATTTTATGTAGTTTAAATAGAATGCCTAAATTAGGCTTGTGGGAGATAATTTTTAGTGGTTGTAGGAAAGAGCAAATTTAGGGAGAGCTGAACTTCAGGCCTTTTATTCCTGGGAAGATATCTATAGAGAAAAAAAAAAAACCCTTTAAAGTAATTTTTGATTAGAAATGTACACGGGCCCATATCATCTACAGCAGAGTGTCCTCATTCTGCTGGTGTGGTATATCCTTAATTTGTACTACCCTAAAATTTATCAGAATGAAAATTATGCATACACGAACTATGCCAGAGTAATGTTTACAGATACTTTGTAACAATATCAGGAGGTATATTTTAGGCGGATTGTGTGGGCATTGGCTTAGCGCCCCTAAAAATGATTTCCCCATGCTCTACTTTGGTTTACAATGTTATGCTCAGTATTGAAAAGCTTTGCAGCAGGGGGATTACTAACCATTGCACTTCAGTCCTACAGGAAGACACTTTTCAAAAGTTCCTTCATTTTATTTTCTGAGAAAAAAAATTACATACACTTGTAGGTACTGGAAAATCACCTGCACAAGGGTTACATCTGATCCCAGAAAATGGCCTGAAATAAAGTTTAATTCAGTTTAGTGTCAGATGATTTTTGGAGCCATATGCCATAATGAATTCATAAATAAATAACTTGAAATAAATATAAAAGTTTCACTCAAGATTTCAGTAATGAGCATAAATTTGTGAGGTGTTTCTTTTTCCGTGTTAGGTTTAATCACTCTCTGTGTTTAAGGGAGCACAATCATATGAAGTAGTTGAAATGTGCATACGCATATTTTGTCTGCTCCCTGGAATTTGCAATGTGTCAAGCTGGGCTCCTCAAGTTTGGTATGATCTTTTGTGTGCTTGCTGTATTGGAACTTAAGCACAGATCTCAGCACACTGTTGCGTCATTGAAATGCTTAAGCCAATTGACTTTGAATCTCATACCTTATTTCCTCCCAGGCATGCCGCAGTTACCCAGAAACACATTGTTTATCTCCTTACTTAAGTACGTCCAGAAATGACAGCCATGCATCTTGTATATGGCATAATCTGTTGTTGGCTTTGAGGAGCTGTATACCATACGATTTCTAGATCTGGTTTGTCCAAAAATTTTTTCCCCAAAAACCTGCTCTCAAATTTTTGGCATACTCAGTTCATAAATAACATTTGGCATACTCAGTTCATAAATAACATTTAAACGATACGTTAGTCTCTGATCCTCTGAAGGTAGCCATTGAAAGAATTGATTACTGTGTGAGCAGGAAAAGACATAATTCCATTCAGGAGATGCTTTAAAATAAGAATTTTTTGATAGTTCACAAGAAACATGTTTACAGAAAACATGACTCAAATACAATGTGTACACTATTTGCCTAACCACTTTGGGGCACACGATTTAAAAAAAATAATAATAAAAGAACCTCCCTTAGACCAGCAGCCGTTAGCATAGAATGATGGACTTCCAAAAAGATATACCACATAAACAGATACTCCACGGAGAAACACTCTGGTCTGAATCTGATCTGGATTCGTGGCTGGAGGAACGTTGGTGGTGGGAGGCACGTGACAGGCATGGCAAGTACATGTGTCTTAAGATGGCAAGACTCTTGATGCCCACAGCCTTGAGGCCCTCTCCAGGCTTTGCCAACATTCTTCTCCACTGGAAACATAGCTTTGTGTGACATGACTGCATGTCCAGTCTTAGAGTTTATCCATGGAAAGGTTTACAAAACTGAATCTGGTTGAGTCTCTGTGAGGCATTCAACTTTAAAGGGTCAACACATCTGTCGGCATTTTGCACACTTATGTATTATTATGATACAACATATTACTTTATGGTAATTTTTATTTTTACATAGAACTACCTCCATGAATTTGATGACATGGCAGCAGTGTGTTAAAGTGTGTTCTTCAGAAAAGCAATGTTTCAAACATGCTTCAGCAGTGGGCCATGGCGTTCTGTGTGTGTCAGTGATTCGTCCATTGGACTCATGACTTTCTCCCTGCTGTGGTTTTCTTTCAGAACATTCTTTGGCTTCCAACTGTAAACCTGTTGTCTTCTTTCTCACTCCCTTTTCCCCATGAAAGCACATTTGATTTGTTACAAATGAATGAACATTTAAAATTATTGTCTTCCCCATTTCTCCATTTCTGCTATTAAAGGGGGAAAAAAGTCCTTTTTGGCAAAGAGCCACATGGTAAACATTTAGGAAGTTATTAATTTTTATTGGATTGGATTGCTCGACTTTTTTTTTTTTTTTCAGTAACAAAACAGTAACGTGAGAAATTTGGACTGCCAATTTGAAGCACTTTGGGCCTCTCTGCCTTTATTATATGCTACCCTATGGAGCCCAAACTTACTTAAAAGAAAAAAAAAAAGCTGTGCCATGCATTCTGAGATGTCTGTTAAGTAATTTATACACCATTTGGTATATTTTGCACATCTCAGGAGACCTTAATGAGTGTGAGAAAGGTGTGTGTGTGCACCCAATAGAGAAAACAAATAGGAGCGCTGAAAGGAGACTAGCTGGCTAGAAATAACAAATGCCTGTGTCTTTGATGTTGGAGAATCCAAATTCAGGAAATCTAGATCGACAGGGACTCTGGAGAAGCAGTGATTTGAATACCAGCTGTTCCTAAATGTCTCTTTTTCAACACTGAACGAATCTTGTTAAGATGTTCGTTGAAAATCTGTTGCGGCCACCACTAAGACAAGAATGGTGGCTCACAGAAAAGTGTCATTTCTCTTCCAGGCTAGCACAGCTTTGTAAAGTTCTACCCAGGATTAGCCACCTCTCACCACGCAGTGTACTTGAAGATAAAGTTTGTGACCTCAGTGACAGGCACAGCTCTCCTCAAACCGTAGAGGCCATTTTTGAGAAATGTCTTGCCGTTTGGGAGGGGTAGCATTCTGAGCTTGTACTAACAGCCAGTGACTGGTGATGTTACTCGGCTCACCTCGGGATCTCAAAGTGCTTCTGAAACACTAGCTGTGTGATTACAGGGCAGGTCCTGTTGGTGATACCCATGCTTGACAGGAGCAAACAGATGGGTGGCTCAAGGCCACCCAGAAACACAGTGGCAGCTAACAGTGACCTATTTCTATCTGTTTGATAGGCCATTGTGAGAAATCACTACAATGCTATTTTTATGATGTGTGCTAATAAAGAAAACAAATACAGCTTGACACCTTGTCCATTTTCATTCAAAGAGTTAGGGGTGTTTAGGATCTCAACACCTCAGCACACCTGACTGGTATTGAGCTATGAAGTGGAAGATGAACAAATACAGGCCAACGTCATTGTCGTCCAAGGCCAATCCAGACATCCACCTTTGTTTACAGTTTCTTATTGGGTTTCTGTAATTCCTGTGCTAAAATCCCATCTTCAGGAACATTGGCTGCTCTGGGCAGTGGAAGGTGCTGAAACACGTCCTCTTTTGATTTGATTTGATTTGATTTGATTTGATTTTTTAAATCTTACTTTAATCGAGAACTCTTCACAGTGCTCAGAGCATAACATTCACTACAGTATACCAAGCCCTGCTTCGTAGGATCTGGGAAACAGATCCAGTTCCAAGTGTTTTCTCCAAGTGTGAGATAGAAGGTCTTTGACACTTGCTCACCCTGTTCCTATAGATCAGTCCCAGACCCAACTAACAGTGTAGTGTCAGACCGCAGTGGACCCAAGAAGAAGTGGTTACTTTCCTGACCCCCCCAACCCCACCCAGGAAACCCCCACCCACTGTCAAAGCCATCCTGTAATGTCCTGTGAGCGAGGGACTCCTTGGCCCGTGTTTAAGGCTCGGGGAAGTTAGAAACGAGAAAAACGAATGCAAAAGCCATGGGAGGCATCGTTTTTTTCTTTGGGTTAAACATGTCAGGGAAGGGATTGCTATTGTCTGAGCTTTGCCAAGAAATACAGAAGAATCGGCCATCACCTCATCCTTCTCGAAGAAGGTTTTATAGTATTAATGACACAAAAGATATTTTCCCATGGAGTCTTCTTTAGGATACATTTCATAATGTATAAAATGCACGTGAGACATTTTATGATTAAATCTCATGTGTTTGCCAAAGGTACTGGCTTCTGCCCGATTGGCACCGACCCCCTCATCTTGCATCAGCGATGCGATGCAGAGGGGCGCCCTGCTGATGGCCTCTATAATACATTCTCCTGTGTCCTTGCTGTTGTTCATCGACTTACCAGTTGATGACCTGCAACATTTAGAATTGGACAAAGCTCAAGGGGATGAAGCCCGTCTTGGGATTGAATGCAGTCAGTCAGAAGCCCTTAATTGCTCATTGCTGGCTTCACTTGTGAGCACACACGCCCTGCCAACAAGGAAAAGGGTGTTTCCGAGTGAGGCAGCAATGGCTCTAGAAAGGCAGAAATGGAAGGTTAGAGCTTGGCTGGTCCTTGTGCACCTGCCTACCTCCCTGTCCAAAGGCTGACCTTGGTACCCCATGTCCTTGTACTCACCCAAAAGAGGTACCAAATCTGAGACCTGAGCTCTCCTCCAATCCCAGTCCTCTACAGCTCCAGGAAATTCCTCATACGGAACGCTTTTGGCAGCCCCAATTCTCCCTTTCCTCCCAGGATGACCCTCTTCACCTCCTTGCCCTCCCCCGCCTAGATACCTACACCACCACTGTTTCCACATTGGAAGAACAGAATACTGTGCAGTATTGTGCACGCATGCCAGTTAGGGATAAAATGGCCCTAGGGTCCCCTTCATGTAAGCTACCAACAGCTACAAATCTAGTGTACTTAGAGCAGTGACATGACGCTACTATGTGAGAGAGAATTCAATCTGAACATCCATTTCGAGGGACCGTGATCCTGCAGGTGTCTTTCTCTGAGCGACTGAAGGCGACTATTACACTAGTATCAACGAATTAAGAAGTGCAAGTGGGATTTACTGGATGTTAGGAAGGAGTTTTGCAGCCAAGACTGCCTTGAATAAAATGTTTTTGCACTGAAGAAAAAAAAAAAAAAAAAAAAAAAACCTTTAACTGACTTGGTCTCTGGTTGCTGTAAAGGTCATCCGGGATGGATGTTCTGTTTATATTGTATAGTATTTCATATGAAATATCTGCAATTCATGAAATGTCTTCCCTAATGTTACTGATTTCTAACAGCACATTTGTACCATGGTTTTTATCGTGTCCGTGTACCATATTGTAAATGATGATTCCTTGCCATGCTTAGTATAATAACTTAAAAGGAAAAAAAAAAAAGGACAGGGATTTTTGTAAGTCTATATTTGAAAGTCCCTCCATATGGTAATATTGTGTTCATGTTGTTTATGTAGTGTTGTGTGAAATATCCATTTTGGATTGTGTTACTTTTTAAAATATTAAATAACATTTGGTTATATGTGTAAGTGGATTTTTTTTTTTTTGGGTACCTAAGGGGGAAAAAAAATCACTTAGATGAGGTCAGTTTCTCTCTTTGATTAATGTGATTTTTGTAACAGAGTTCTGTTGCGATTCTTTATTACAGGTTTTAAATTGAAAACCAAAAATAGAGTTCCTGTATCAAAATCCTTTTCCTGTGGGTTTTGCACATTTTGGGGTGGGTTTAATCCAGAGCAGAGTTGCGTATAGTCCTATTTTCTATAAAATTATAGAGCAGTGTGGCTATTTGGGGGATTTGTCTTTTAAAACCACTCATTCCGAAACTTGTAACATGGGCTAAGTCTCTCAGGTAAATGCTGGGAGGTCTGTCCATGCGGTCAGAAAGCAGGAAGGCCTATGTGTTCCATGCTCCCCAAACCTGGCTGTGGGTTTCCAACTCTAATAGCATTCAAGCAACCATGGCTTGACAAAAGAGTTTTTCTTTTAAATTGTATCTAGGTTTGAGGAGATGACTCAACAGAATACTTGTACAAATATAAGGACCGGAGTTCGGACCTCCAGCACCCACGTAAACTCGGGGTGCAGTGGTGTTCCTCTATACCGAGGCTGGAGCATCAGAGGCAGGATCCCTGGAGCTCACTGGCTACCAGTCTAGCCAGATGATTGAGTTCCAGGTTAAGAGAGAGACTCCGTCTTGAAAAATGTGGCAAAGAGGGACTGGGAAAGATACTTCCTGTCAACTCCAGGTCTCCATACACAAGCTTACGTGTCTCCTCCGTGTGCACATGATCACATTCATGCACACATGAACTCTTACGCATACATCATACACACACAAATGAAACTGTGCCTGTATTAGACATGCCTAGACTTCTTCCGTCTCAGTTCCCCGTAAACCGGAAACTGACTGCTTTCACAAGGTTTATGTTCTGTAAACCTTTATGTTCTGTAGGTATTGTAACTAATCTAGATAGGGTTTAAAGCACGCCATCTTTAGATATGCACAGGCTAGGATAACACTGAAGTATTTTCTGTTACGATTGAGGGTTTGAGCATCTCTGGGGCCAGTTCCCTGGGGCTTTACATTCTTTTGAGTCCCCTTGGGGACAGGTCCCCTTCTTGGTGATAGGTCTTGGAGGAACGAAGACCACCTTTTGAAACGGACAACCACACTCTGTCAAATGAACAGTTAAGCTAAGAAACAGCCTATAACCCACAAACACAACAAACTCTACAGTTGAGAGCAATTTGTGTGTGTGTGTGTGTGTGTGTGTGTGTGTGTGTGTGTGTATGTAAGCAAAACCTCACACAGGCTTTTAAACATCATCTTGAACAATACTCATATCTTTTAAGTTGATGGTTTTAAAGGACAAGTTTCATGTCACTGAGCCTGATTCAACAGAAATGGCCACAGTGGAGACGCTCCCGTTTTCAGGCATGAAACCAGGAGGAATTCGGAGTCACCAGCTGCTGAGGTCCAAGGATGGGCACTGTGTGTGCATTTCAGCATGATCCAGTGAACTGGATACAGAGAGGAAGTATGGAGACTTGGTAAGAAGATTGATAGCAGCTTTCTGGCCCCTTTGAGAGAATGGGCACAGTTCATAAATGCCTTTTCTTTCCAAAGGAAGTGGTATGGTTTTAACTTATTTTTACATGGTTTGGAGTGGGGAGATTTTTTTTTTCTCCACTCCATAGAGAAAATCCAAGTGGACTATAATTACCTCCTACTCCGTTTGCCACTATGGAATGGAGAAACACTGAATAATAAAAAGGAGTTATTCACTTGACTTTCATAACTTACTTAACTGTAAAAACCTTATCCCCACTGTGGGAATACTTGGATTTACTGACAGTCCCATTTTCAGGCCCAGTGGCTCCAGACTCCTCCTGTCAAACAAATAGTTCATCCTGTAACCCTTGAGACAGTGTGCAATGAGTGTGTGCACACAGCACATGGCCCCAGGCAGTGATAGTGAGAAAAAGCAAGGCATCTGCACTCATGATAAGCAGGGTGGAGGCTTGGATGCCGCTTGAAAGAATCAGACCGGGAGTGTCCTGTGAGGTGTGAGGGTGAGGCGCCATCTGATAGATAAGAAAAGCAAGACAAAGTTAGCTCAGAGCCAATGGGCAAAAATGAAGATGTTTCCTTCTTGGTCATAGCTAAGACCAAGGCCCTAAGACTTAGGGCTGGGCCTGCTGCCTCTAACGTGGGTATGACCAACCTCAGGTTTTACAACCTGAAGGTGCAGTAAGAAGGCTTTCGCATTTCAGTGGGTTCTTTAGCCTCCAGGTTTTATCAGACATGCACACACTGTTTTGGTTGCACCCCTTCATGGCTTCCTTGCTTCCTTCTATTGCAAAATTCCACACATTGTTTTCTATTACCTTGGTTTGTTTTTTTGTTTTTTTTTTAACTTTATTATACTGCCTAAAGACCTGTTTTTGTGATTATTGTTTTGCTATTAAAATTTGATTGTGGACCTAGAGATGGCTCAGCAGGTTATGGCCTTTGTCACTAAGCCTAATGACCTGAGTTTGATCCCCAAGACCCATGCAGTAGACCCATGCAAATTGCCCTCTGACTTCAACACACATGTTATGATGCGCACATACCCACACATGTACATATCTACATTCAAATACACCAAACATGTAGAGTACTTTTTAATCTTTATTTATTTATTTGGTGTGTGTGTGTGTGTGTGTGTGTGTGTGTGTGTGTCAGTCACTGTGCACCTTCCTGAGACGGACACAAGAAGACATGAGACACAGGAGTTGTAATTGCTTGTTAGCTGCCTGACATGAATGCTGGGAACTGAACTCAG